TTAGTGCTGAAGGTGCCCGTCACAGACCCAGAGCTCTGCACTGAGTTGTGCTGCGTGCTGCAGGGCTCCCTCCTGGCTCAGCCCCATACCTGCAGGGTCCCCTGGGTGGGATGTGGAGGGAGAAGCGGGCAGCTTTCAACCATTTCTCCTGACGAACCCATCTGGGAGGCACCTCCCAGGTCATTAAGCAGACAGAGGAGTCACTAGATGGCCCTGCTAGTCCTGCTCATCTGATCACAGCATGGATGCTTTGAAATGCTTTTGCTGATGCTCTGAGGGCTTCTCCCGAGCCTGCTCCCTGCTTCCAGCCTCCCTGGGGGTGGAAGGGGCTCTCTGAGACCACTTTCCCAGGGACCATTTCCTTGCCAGCATCCCCAGGACAGCACTGCTCTCATCAGACATCACGGGTCTCTGCTCGGTGTAATCACACTGACAGTGATGGGCGTAAGAGCCAGGGAACCATACACTGAACATCGTGTTGCTGGCTAATCATGCCATTAGCATTATTGGATTAGAACATTTGAATAATTTGGGTACAAGGCTACCTGCACCAGGACATATGTTGACATGAATTTACATCCATTTGCATCCCAATGAAGCTCTTCTGATCACATCATGGGAGAACACCCAGCTGTGGACAGGACCGGCACAGCCCCATATGTGTGGGTAGCCCTTCCTGAGATCTTACTCTGTGTCCTTTGATTAAATGATTTGATTTTATAGGAAGGGAGGAGTGAGATTCGATTACTCGATTCCTGATTCCTAATTTCCAGAGCATCCCTGAGTGCTTTCTAATGCACTTGTAGTAGAAATGCTAAGTCACGGCTGGAAGAAGTAATCGAGCACCTGGTGAGAATGCAGGGCCAACCTAGGGGAGCTCAGGTGTTTGCAATTCAGAAGGGGTAAAGCCAGGATCCGCCCCTTCCCAGACCTCATTTAAGGGCTGGCTGTGGAGGTGAGGGCATCTTGCTGGAGATTCCTGTCTACCAGAGACCTTCTAAAGGTAAGTGGATTTTCTTCTTTTATGTCTATGGGTGCTCCACTGTTGCTTGTTCTCGTTTGCTGTAGCTTAGGATTGTGCCACCCTGCTGGTATTGCTGTAATTTCCATCATGTCATATGCTCCCACTGTATTCCTCCTGGGTTCTTCCAAGCACTGATAGAACTGGGCAAAAAGCTTGGATGCAGCAAGTTGGTTCATATCCTGATACAACTTGCAGCCTGGACACCACTGCATGCTTTGCAAATAACAGGGACTTAGTTGCAAGCCTGTGAGGTGCACGCAGCTTCACATGGAAGGCTATTGGGATTAAATGTGTGAGCACAGCCTGAAGTGCTCAGCTGCTGTAGGGAGCAATGCTGCCATGTAGACAGGAGTGCTTCTCCAGTCCTACTGCCTGATGTCACTGGGCTCTCTTCGCCCAAACCAAATATGTCTGCTTGGCTTCTCTTTTCTTCTTGATTAGAAGAAGTTGAAAAGCAAAGAAAAGGCATGAAAATGCAATTCCTGTAGGGGAAAGCAGTGCTGTGCTCTGAGCATCCCAGAGGTGGAGGGACCTCACTATCAACATGTTGGGCTGCAGAGCATCCCTGCAGCAGGAAAGCACAGCCCTGGTGCTGCAGCACAGAGCAGAGGGATTTGGCCTCAGCCACAGCATCTCCCACCCACGTGCTCTGAGCATCCTCTGAGCCTTCAAAGCCTGCCAGTTAGCATCCCTCTGCTTTAACAGCCCAAGCTATTAAAGTGGGGGATGTTTCAAGACTTTAAACAAACATGTCAAGAGCGCTGGCTGGAGGGCAGCTGGGAGATCCATGTGGCTTTAGTGAACTTGCAGCCCACGTTTTTGCTGGCACGCATGGTACTTCACCTCAAAGCAATCTCAGTACCTGGAAAATTCTGGACTTCTGTAGGAGAAGTGGAGACAAACCTGTCTGAGAGGTCAGATGGACCTGGTCTTAGTGGGAGAGAGGAAGAAAACCAAAATTTCTGGCTTGAAGGAAGATCATTGCTTGCATGGCTGCCACCAGGTGCTGATGCCAAGGGCCATGGGCAGTGAAGATGGGAATACAGCACCAGGAGGAGGGGATGCACGTATGCATCACTGCTGGGACGTGGGGCATAGCACCTATGTGATTTATGGCTGTGTAGATGGGGCGCTGAACGCTGACTGTCGGAGTGTTTGATCAGCCTGGGGCTGTCAGTGTGGCTCCCAGCTGGAGGCACCAGATAACAGCAGCAAATTAACCCCATTCCCCTCCCTACCTTTTGCAGTGGACATCTCAGAAAGGAAAAAGCAGGGAAGGGAGGCAAGCTCAGTAAATCAGGCTTGCTGCTTCACAACCTGCTTCTCCTCCTGCAGCGCTGGGGGTGCTGCCAAGGACCCTGGGGCAGAGCCTGGGGAACACGGACCTGGGAACACAGCTGCTGGTGCTTGAAGAGGTCAGAGCTCAGCTCTTCCCAAAGCTGTGCATGAAGTGGATGCAAGGCAGCACAGTGAGAGCAGAACTGGCACCAAATACACCAATATGGGGCATGGAGCGTGCTGCAAAAATCAGAGTCCCGTATGCTTCCCAATTTGCAGAGGCACTGAGATGGGCTACGTCTGATTTCTGCCTTCCCTTTCCAGCCCTCTCACCCTCCTCTCCCCGCCTTTGAGAAACAGATGCACCCATTCATAACCATGCAAAAGCAAGTGCGCATTTGCTTTTCCGACTGCAGTGCAGCTGGTGAGGCACAGGAGGGAAAATGATGCTCTGTATGAATACACAAATTATCCGTGCTGATCTTATTACGCTCGAATGGCAAACGAGCAGAAAAAGAAAACATGAAAGAGAGAGGCATTGTTTGGGCGGCGCCGATGTAGCATCATTATTGTTTATCCTCTCAGAGCACTCTGTCATCCTAATCCCACTGCCTCCTGCAGCGATAGGTCAGCATGGAGCAGTGGGATGCGGTGCTGGGAGCCCCGGCAGGTCGAGGCCAAGCATCCCATAACTCAAGGCGTAGTCAGTGTTAAAAAAGATCCCTGTTCTGCAATATGCAGGGGTGAGATAAGAACGCAAATCCTCTCAAAGGTGTTTTTATTTGTCCCGTGGGTAACAACCCAAAGCCACAGCACAGTGGTGTAAGAGGGAATAGAAAGCAGCTGTGCTCAGCACCAGTCCTGAGAACATTGACTACAGTGGGGTTCTGGGATATTAAAAGAGCTTTGCAGCCCCCCCAGCTCCTGCACACCCAGAGGGCTGGGGCAGCTCCTCCTGGTGCAAAGGCATTTGATGAGCCCAGCAGCTCATTCCTTGCATAGCAAACAGCAATTATGGGGAGTGCAGAAAAAAAAACAGTCACAAGGTGGGAATCTGAACAGCTCGCAAGTCATCTGCTATCAAAATGGGAAAATTAGTGAGTTTCCTACTTAGCACTTACTACATCACGGTGGTTTGGTGATGCTAATTAAACAGCTATCACCCAGATGCAGCCAGAAAGATTTACAGCCCTTGTTTGCGTTTCTTGGTTTATTTTTTCCATCCTCTGAGGCAGCATGAGAATGACCATGGTGCAAACCAAGCCCAGAGGCAGCAGCAGCTCCTGTTGAACAGGTTGCTCCAGCAGGATGGGGCAGAGGTCTGTAACTGTGTGCAAGGAGAAGTGAGAACTGCCCAGAGCTGCAGCCAGCCCTAACAGGAAGGCCCTGTGGCAGCACCCAGGTGGCTCTGAGCAGCAGCAAAGCTCCAGCCCAGGGACAAGAGTGGGAAGGGGCAGAGGTGCTGCCTATCTGCTGCATGCCAAGGTTCTACAGACGGTTCTCAGTGCCAGGCAGGGATTGGGAGAAGGAAAAGAAATGTAAGGTGGGTGCCTTCAAACAAAAGCACAGAGCCTTGGTGTCACACAGCTGGGCTGGATCTATTGGTTCACTGCTATGTAGGCAGTAAGAGGAATTTCTTCTGCAGTGTGAAAGTGTAGAGTGAGGGTTTGGGTGTGGGGCTGCCTGGGTGCTGGCAGGCAGCACGCATCGTGCTCCCACCTCCGGGCTGCTGTGGGTGTACACTGCAATATCATCATCTTCTGCCTCTCAAGCATCGCAGGCATCTCAGTGCTACCTGAATATAATGCTAATCAGCCCGTGGTCAGGGATGAATGTGAATCAACAGCTCTAGAGAGGAGCCTCCTGCGAGATACTTAGCCATTGCCTGGCATCTTGCACCTGCTGAAAGCCTTGTTATCTGATTGCAGCATCAGCCCTTCCAGACAGCTTCCAAACCTCTTCTTGCATAGCACTCATAAAAAATACCATCTGAATACCAGTGGGATTTATGTGCCCTGGTGTGCTGAACCACGGTGCACAGCTCCTACATAGGGAAGAGTTCCCTTTCCCTTCAGTCTGTAGCTGCACAAAGCAAACCCAAACTTGGCAGCTCGCACCCAGTGCTTTCGGCTCCGAGGTCCCACAGCTGACTTTCTCACGTGCTGGTTGTTTTCATGGCAAGCAGAGCATGGACAGGATGGCACAAGAGATGCTGGGTTCTGGGAGTTCTCCGTCCTTGGACTCCCCAGCAGAACAACCCCAACAGCAACCATCGAGGTGTTTTTAGAACAGGAAAAGCCAAACAGATGGAAAAGCCGTGTGAAACCTTGAAGCTGAACGCAGGGTGGAAGGGAAGATTGAGCAGGGGCTGTGCAATGCAGAGAACACTACCTTGAGCTGCGGGGTGACAAGCTTTGGGAGGCCAAGGATGACATCCAGAGCTGGTTTATGCTCAGTGATGACATGGCAAGCCTTTCTCTCAGAGGGGCTGAGGAGCAGACCTGTGCCAAGGCACCAAAGAGGGGCAATACAGCAAAGGACAAGTTTCAATGCAGAATTCAATTACACTCCTGCTGTGTGAACCACTGTTCTGTGGCTGGGCTGTTCTCTTTCCCCCTGGAGCCAGTTGAAGGATTTGGAGAGCATCTGCAACCTGGGAATGGGAAAAGTGGTTTCCTGTCTCAAGAATGGTAAACAGTTGTTCCAGAGCCAAAATTTTATTGTTTCCAGTAGTAAAACACTACATAAAAGTTGTAAGGGAGGGGGATGAGGAGGACAACAAAACAATAAAAGCAACACAGCCAGAGTAGACTGAGCACCATGCACTGAGCCCTTCTTGCCCTCTTTGAGCCAAGTGAAAAGACATCAACTGGTGCAGCTTTAGGATAATATTCCAACCAGAGCTACAGAATACAACAAAGAGAATTGCAACAAAGGGAAAGGAGAACTTGAAAACAGGAACCTGGGGGCAGGATCTGTGTCACCCAAAGGCTTTGCTTTCATTTACCAAAGAGCAGAAGCATAATGGAAGAACAGTTGAAAGGACTTTCCCAGCAACATGAGCTGGAAAAGCAGTAGGGGAAGAGTGCTCTGCTGGACCATATTCACTTAGAAAGAAAGTCAAGGATTGATTTCCAATCTCCTGTTAGAGTATTCCAGCACCCGATCTCATTTATCTTCATACTGCAGCCATTTGTAAGAGCATACACTACATGCACACGAAGAGCCCAGCAGCAAAGGAACACTGAACAAAAGAATAATAACCAAGGGAACAGGTTGACATTAACAGGCATGAATTGTTTTTAAATCCATGACTGAAGAGGGAACTTTTTGGAATCCTTCGTATCTTCAGCAAGGCACGGGTCAGATTGAAAGCATTTCATAACTCCTACTTGCAGAGAGTGAGCTTTTGTTCAAGCCTTTAAAGATCTAATTGCTCTAGAAATGTCAGGTAATTTGATTTTTCTCATCAGCCAGGACTCAGAGGGAAATTGTCCGTCCCAGGGAAGCAGCAGGACTGGGGCAGAGCTCTCAGCCTGACTCACTGTGACACCATCACTACAGCCAGATGCTGGAGACTTCCAGGAAAAAGGCACAACGCAGGCCCCTGTTTGCGCAGGAGATTACAAGGTGTGCACGTGGGAGGAGAATCTGCAGAGCTTAATGAGATAAAGTAATTGGAAAGCTTTTAGCTGATTTGGGCAGCCAGCCGTGGGTGTTTGGGGGGGGGGGGGTTTCTCCCACCCAGAGCTGCAGTGCTTGCACTGCTCCTGGTCCTGCTGCATTGCCCACAGTGCAGGGCATGATGACCAGTGGGCTCACTGCAAACTTCACCATGCCAAACCAGAAGCAGGGCTGGCCTCATGGAAGTCCCCATTGGCACCAGGCAATGTCCATAGTGAGGCCTACAGGAGAGGGCAAGAGTTGGGTTCAGGCAGCTCAGTTTCATCTTCACCTCTGTCAACAGCGGGTTCTGCTGTGGGTGCGCCGTTTACCTTCAAAATAAAGACAAACAAAAGTTTGAACGTAGAATCATTCAGATTGGAAGAGACCTCTGGGATTCCCATATCCAGCCCCAACGCACCATGCACAACGGCCACAGTCCTCAGTGCCACATCCCCATGGTTCTCCAGGATGGGGACAACCCCACCTCCCCAGGCAGCTGTGCCACTGCATCACAGCTCGCCCACAGTCGTGCTCCAGCCCCTTCACCTGCTTTGTTGCCCTTCTTTGTGTGAAAAGGAGTGGAGAGATTTGATAAAAGTTATCTGAGATTGCTTTTAGTTCCTTGGTGCCATTTTAAGAGCTTTCTAAAAATAATAATGAAGAGAACGTCTGTGCATCATTACTCTGCACGCTGTCAGCAGTCAGGGCCCATTAAACTTTATTAAAGAAAGAAAAGACAGGCAAATTGGGAAAGGAGGAGAAAGAAAACACAGTGCTGATGGAGCTGGTGTTCTGGTACGTCACTCAGGGCAGACAGAAATTCAAACCTCAGCCCCAGAGGTTTCCAAACAGCACCCGCTGAGCCAGCCCTGCCCCAGCTGGGCCAGAGCAGGGTGGTGGGCACAGGACAGCAGGGCTTATGCATAACGGGATCATTCAGGTTGGGAAAGACCTCTCAGATCCCCGAGTCCAACCCCACCCCACCTTGCCCACTGAGCACTGCCCTCAGGGTCACAGCCCCATGGTTCTTGACAGCTCCAGGGACGGGGCCTCACCACCTCCCAAGGCAGCTGTGCCAACGCACCACTGCTCTTTGGAGAAGTTGTTGCTAACATTCAATCTGAACCTCCCACGGCACAACTTGAGGCCGTTCCCTTTTCTACATGGGGCCCAAAGGACCCTTTTCTGGGTTAAACAGGACACAAATTATGCTGGTTCCAGGAGAGACAACAGGACTGTCTGCGAGAAGCACAAAAACAGGAGCTTCATCTCCAGCTGCAGACTTCTTTCCAGATATATTGAGTGAAATAGAGTGAGACAAGAGAATGAGTCTTTGTCATTCCTCTATTTTCAAGGAAAAAGCCTTCAATTTAAAACTCCATGAAGAATTACAGAAATGGTGAAAGTAATTTATTTTTTTTAAGCGAAGAAAGGCTTGAGAACCCGACTTCAAGGCGAGGCTCAAAGCAATGGAAATGTTTTGGTTCCACCGCTGGAAAATGAAAACATTTTAATTCCTTAAAACGTGGGAGGGGGCATTGGCTTCTTCTGAGGTTCCTATTTAGCAGCGCATTGTACCTAAAGCAGAAACCCTGAATCACTTCCCAGCTCTGTCACTCCTGGAAGACATGTTTTATTTATAAATACAGCGGGATCATTTGGTGCTCTGCAGCACTGATAGGGGAAGGCAGAGACAGCTCAGAGCTTCTCAGCCATGAAGGCACAATTCCGTTTTTTCCACTTGTGGAAGAGGGGCAGCTCATCCTCAGCAGCAGGAAGGCTCAAGCCCACAACAAGGGGGCACAAATGGGGCGGGAGAGCAATTAAAGGGAGAAAAGATAGCAGCAACTTTCTTGCCAAGCACAGGAAAACAAAAGCCACCTCCCCAAAGACTGCCACCAAGAAAGTCATTACAGAAATTACTCTCTCGTTCAGAGCCTAATTAATGCGAGGACAATTTTGTGATTTTTTTTTTTCCCCTGCACGGAATGAAGTAGACTCAATGAAGTGAAATGTCACTTCCTCATCATCCCTGAGGGAGCAAACCAGACATCCGAGAGACAGAAGGAAAGGCAAAGAAGATGGTAACGCTTCAAACTTCAAACACGGCCTGAGAATTCCCTGTCACAATAACGTAGAGCAGCTCTGCCCATCTCCTGCGTTAGCAGCTTGCATATTTATGAGCCAGAATCGATGCCAACCCCAACCAAGGAGGCACTGAGACACAGAGGGAGTGACACCACCTCCTTCCTAAGCCTAATCGATTCCCGAAAGATGGAGCATAGATCTCCCCCCCAACGGATGAGTGCTGGAAGCAGTGCTCCCTGCCCGGCTCTGGGCTGTGCTCCCAGCTCCACGCAGGGGGATGGCACCCCGAGCTGCAGCTTTGGTGCATGGAGAGAAGGGCTCTGCACCCTGGCTGCCTCTTTTCTCTGAGCCCATCCGGTTCTGCCATTGGTGCTCAGCTCTGGCTCTGTTTAACCGCCAGCTGCTGCACCTCTCTTTAAGTATTAATGATTTAAACAACATGCTGGCACAGGAGCAGAGATGGAGAGACTGTGATTTGCACTCAGATGCGTGCTACTAATAAGTTCGTCTTGTGGCTGCTTTGCCACATCGAGGGGAAGTGCAAATAACACCTTTCTCCAGCCCTGCAGCCCAAACTCCCTCATCTTACCCTGCCCACGGACCATCTCAGTGCCCCAGTGACCACCCATGGGATTCACCCACCCCTCTGAAAGTGCCCTGCAGTGGGGAACCACCAAAGAAGAACTGCAGGCACTGCCCTGTGCTCCTAATCAGCTCCCTGCAGCAGCCAAGCCCCAACCCAAAGCTGTAATCTCCATTAAAAGCTCTCCGTGGGCTAATGAAATACATCAAAATATATGGCTGGTTTCTTTGTTTAATGCTGTTTAATTTTCCCTTTTGTTAATAAAAATGTCGTAATTAAGAACAGGGAGGCTTTTGCTCTTCTCCCCTCAACTGCGCAGCTGAAGAAAAAGGAGTCTCTCCCCATCCAGGCAGGGGCAAGGAAGGGAAAAAGGGAGAACAAGCATTTCTTATCTGCAATTTTCCTTCTCTTCATGATAACAGTCTGCTGCAAAACCAGTGCACGACCTCCCCTATATCCATCCACCCATGGTGCTCGATGGAAAGGAAGACAGGAGCCACAGAAAGAGGAAGAAGAGCCTCAGAGCAGGCACAGCGCTTAAGGTTGGAGGGCACCTCCGGAGGTCTTCACCTGCAGGAATTGGACCTTCACCATGAGAAGAGACAACAGGACCCAGAAAACAACGCTTCTGAAAACAAGCAGTAAAACAAAAACCAGCCCTTGGCAGCTCCTCAACTCACTGCTCCCTTCTCCAAGTTTGACTCAAGGGCTGAGGCTGCCTAAATCCCGGCGCAGCGCCGACAATGAGTCACTCCATGACAAAGCCCAGACTTCATTACCTGCCTCACCAAACCCCAGCCGGAGCTGGAGCACCATGCTGGAAACCTGCAGAACTCTTCCTCACAGCTCCTTGTCTTCCCTTGGCCGTGTTGGCTGTGTGAACACACTGCTGTCTCGGCCTTTGGGCCCGAAGAGCTCAGGACTGTGCTTGCAGCATCGCTCCCCACAGCCTCAGATTTAAGGGTGCTGAATGGTTCTGCCACATTGTGCTTGAAAGCAGAGGTGAGAATGAGAAGGAAGAAGAAAAGCACTGCCAGAGCAACACCTGAGGTGCTAATACAAAGCAAAAGCTGCTCCCCAGCTAGCACTACAAAGTTTCGGAGCCAAAAAGCAACAGCAAGATCTGCCTTTAACATCCTTGTGGTGCCACATGGCACGAGGTGTGATGCACCTCCACCTGCAGACCCTGAGCTGAGCAGCCTCTTTACAGCAGCTGAGACATAAACAGCCCCAGCCATAATGAAGCTCTCCACCAATATTCTGGCTGGTTTAACCTTTTCCTCAGCAGGATGCCCTTTGCACCTCAGGGACTGTTTTAACTGGACTATGTGATCATCACAATTTCCAGGTTTTTTAACATACATCCATGCTGCATGGCATTTTAGCTCCCTCCTGCCAGCAATGAGAGATCCCACTGGAAAGCACTGACTCCTCCTGCCAAGCTTTGCATAAAAGGGCCTTTTTTTCCTGAGGAAAAAAAAGGCACTTTGTGCCTATGAGACAGTGTTTGCACTGTCATGGCCAGACAGCAGCCAGCTTAAGTAGCAGGAAAGCTCCAAAGTGCTGTACCTTGTACAGACAGCATCCAGAACAGCCATCACCTGCATCACAGCACAGCCACACAGCACCACGAAGCAGTACATCCACATAGAGCCCTCTGTTGCACAGCACAGTCCACAGACCACCACTCCATGGGAACCTAAAGCCAGCAAGGGCTTAAAAATAAATCACCAGTCTGGGGCAGCACTGTAATCCAGAGGATGGATGGAGCAGAAGCACCACTCAGCTGAATTGCTTTGCAAGAAAAACAACAAAAAAAAAACCCTAAAATTAAAGAGAACTGCAAATCTCTGAAATTTGCCTTCAGTTGAAGGCTATTCCTTGCAGGCAGCGTGGGGAGGGGAACCACAGCTCCACGTTGCACTGAAGGATAAGCCTGCACTCTCTAATCCAATTTACACCCCAACACATGCAGCACAAGAAGGGCTCGAGAACAAAGCAGTGGCAGCTCACAGGGTGCAGGAGCACTGGAGGGAGCAGTGCTAAATGATAACTTAAGGGGTTTATGGAATACATTAACAGGAACTGCAGAGAGCACATTTGCATCTCTTTCAGCTGCTCCAGATCAAATGTGATGGCAGCTCTGCTCTCGCAGTCACTTAATTGTTCCAAGGTTGGCAAGGGGGAAAGGTGTCTTATTTTTTTTCCCCCCTTCACTGCAGAGCTCTGCAAGTAGCCGTGCTCAGCTTTAAGAGCTATGTAACATTAGGAAGAATTTCCTTCAGTCTCATAAAGCTGCTGGATTTGTGCTCTGCTCCAGTAGCACTCAGCTCTGTGCAGATGCGAGCTCCTTGCAGGGAACAGCTCGAGGCTCCTAGTGCTCCCTGGGCTGGCTGCAGGAAGCTCCAACCCTGGGCCATTACTCATGTTGTAGAATAGGTTCTGCACAACAAGAGGAGGGAAGGAGTGAGCTGTAACACCGTGACAGTGCCTGACACCAGCACAGCACGGAGAGGTGATGCCAGGCCACAGAGGTGCACCTTGCAGAGGGCTCAGCTTAGAGGGACAGCAGCCCCCAGTCAGGGACAAGCCCCACAGGGGATGCTCTGCTTACCTGGGCCTCTGCCGCCGCTGCTGTCGTGCCCATCTGCTGCCTGGTCACTATGGCAGCTCTCTCCCTGCCCGCTGCCTGCACTGCTGTGGCTCCCAGACACCTTCATGGGATGGCCAGGCTCCCTGGAAAGCACTGTGGGACACAATGGAGAGAGGGTGTTTAGCAGGGAAAGAAGCAGATGGGGCCAGATCTTAAGGGACCCACCAGCAGTCCAACCCATTGCTGCTATCTGAGTGATAACGGGCCAGCCCCATGCAGCCAGTGGCAAAAGCCACATGGAACATTAGCTCCTCACCCTGTCCTGCTTGCTGCTTTCCTCCTGGAGAGTCTTTTGACCCTGCAGATGAGGGCCTGTCCTCCTGGCTGGAAGAGCTGAGCTCCGAGTCGCTGTCGCTAGAAACCACTGTGAGAAAGATGAAGGGGGAGGAGAGGAGAGAGACAGTTATTCACAATGTTCATAACACTTACCAAGAGGGTGCCAGATGGATCCAAATAAAACACGAACAAACGCTGACTCGCTGATCACATCTCCCTTGCTAAAAGCAGCACTACCTGCAGTTCTTCCCCAGCTGTTTGTGCTTCCTCTCAAACGTCAGGCACATTTTTTCCAGATGATTTACAGCTCAGCAGCACAAACCCTAGCAGTGCCAGCACCTGCAGCAGGTGTACACACTGCCAGTGCTCCCCTCCTGGTCCCATCCAGGATCACAGGCAGCACACACTGCTCCCACTGACATCAGAGAGTTGCTTCCTGCTGCAGTTTGCAGCCTGGTCTCAGTGGTCTGTTCCAACTTTAATAACTCTATGATTCTATGCTAAAGGCTGGGCTGGGTAGAAGGCAGGGTCCTGGCTCCACAGCAAGAGGATTGACAGTTGGTAATTCAGGCTACAGATCCAGCCCTGGGCTCCTCCAAGCTGCAGAACCACTGCAGAGGCTCCAAGATCTATAAGGCACCAGGTAAATACAAAGCACGTCAAACAAGAAAACCCCACAGTGATGACACGAAGAACCCAACCTTATCAGCCCATCCCTCTCTGCACACTGCCCAGAGCTACATTACTCATATGCCCCCCACGCAACGGCATCTCCTCTTCCTCAAGGAGACTCTCCTCCCATTCCAAGGTCTCTCTGTTTCCATGAATCCCAGCCCTATTCCTGCTGCTTCCCACCGTCCATAGTTTCTACAAAGGCTGACAGCTTCATTTAACCAGATACAACCCCGAGACCAGCAGCTTGCTTCCACTTCTCCATGCTGTTATGTGAGCACCTCTCCTCCTTACAGATAACTGGGCTGCCAGCTGCTCAGTGCAAAATGAGAAAGGTGTTTCCCAGCAGCTCCTGGACTTTACTAACAGCCTGATCTCGGAACAGAAGTGCTGAGGCTGAGGATAGAGGTACCCACTTTGCCCCTGCACTGTGTTACTGGCACAGCCTGGATTCACACTGCTGCAGGGCTGTGGGTGCAAGGGTAGAGGTGTCAGTTCACCTCTCTTCATCAGCATTAAACTCACTGCATGCAGCCTGCTGAGCTGCAAACCCTTTACCACAGCCCAGGGCACGAGAGCTGCTATTCTTCCCCTTGCACAAGCTGTCCAACACTGCTGCCAAGCACCTCCGCTCCTGCGTTCAGTCAGCAATCTGTACTACACAAAATATTTTATAAAAGAGAAAAAAAACCAACACGTATTAATACTTAAAACAGTGCTTTTCCAGAGTTACCATCTCTGAGGATATTAAAGCCAGCTGCCAGCGTTATTGCAAACTGTGATGGATGCTGTGCTGGTGTGCAGCTCCCTGTGCACGGGGTGCTGTGTGCTGGGGACAGGCTGCTGGTGCCCTACTGCCAACCCCACAGCACGGCCTCCTGCCCCCAAGCACTTCACACCAGAGCAACACTAGCAGAGCCCTGGCACAGACAACGAGTGCGTACCTATCTTGCTGCTACAAAACCCAAACCTCAGCTGCCAGAACCATTCCATTGTCCTACTGCACAATTCTCTTGGCACTCACAGAGTCACAGAACTGTAGGGGTTGGAAGAGACCTCTGGAGATCACCCACCCCAACCCCCTGCTAAAGCAGGCTCCCCACAGTAAGTCACACAGGTAGGCATCCAGATAGATCTCGACTCCAATCCTCTTCTTTATTTTTTGCCCCCATCGCTTCCCAACAGCTCCTTCCTCCGTGAATCTTTTAAAAAATGCTGGAAGTCAGGATTTATTTAGAGAAGGCCCCAATGAATCAATGGAGGTGACTTTAGCTGCCTACCCTTCTGCCACTCAGCAGTTCAGAGCCATCCAGCACAAGAGGAGAAAGATATTAATGACAAGGAGGAACCTGCATCACAGGAGCAGCCCTGCCTGCTCTCATTTCCCTTGCTGCCAATAGAAATGTGTTTTACCCACTGCACTGGTGCTTCCCTTTAAGGTAATTTTTCTCCCAAAGCTCCCAGACCTTCTACTGGCACTTCCCAGAGCCCAGAAGTCGTAAATCTGCTCTTGCAGCAGCTGCTGATATATCAATAGGAGTCGTTGGGCGGCTGTACTTATAGAAAACATAACAGATTTATTCCTCTCCATCTCCAGCTGATGGGAAAAAAAGCTCATAAAAATAATAATAATAATAAAAAAATCCTAAAAAAGCCAAAATACAGCTTGCAGCAAAAGCAATATCCCCACAGGGCCGGGTCACTCGTGGAACAACTCCCTCCATTGCACAGCTCAGCCTCCAGCAGCACAGGGAGCAATGGGGACAGCTGGGCTGGGAAGGCAGCACCCAGTGAAGGGAGCACTAAGCTGGGGTTCAGCTCTTGTGTTAAATGCATGCATCTGGCATGAGCGTGGCTGCACGCAGTCCTCGTGCCAAGCAGTGCAATGGCTTAGGGATCATGCTTCCTTATTTTCCTATTTCCATGCAGTTGCTTCCCATCCTCCTGCAGAACTCAGAGCTCGGAGCCCTGCTGCTGGCTGCTCCCCGTCCCGCTGACCCGGTGCAGAATCCCACCCACATTCCACCACATGGAGCAGAGCTGCTCCCCAGCACCAGAAATATTACTGCTATTCTCCCCACGACAATACATTTGTGCCTTAACTAATAGCAGGGTTCCCATGGCAACTGCTTGTTTATTACAGAAAAACTCAAGGCAATGGCAAATCCCAGCGTTAGCGAGCGCGAGAGAAATAATGGGTGTATAAAAATAAAACTTCTTCCTGGTGGGCTGGCTCTGCTCCCATTAGGCACATTCTTGCAGTTCCTCAGTCCTGTGCAGCAGGCACAGTGGGGAGTTCCTGAACCTCTCAGTGCTCCCTTCCCCAAAAAGAGGCACTTAGGTGTCGTCCTGCCCCCGCTGAAAGGCTGCATGTGGAGGGACATCACTGCTCGCCTCTCCTGGGCTTGCCCGTGGACATCATATAACCATTAAGGTTGGAAAAGACCCCTCAGATCCCCAGGTCCAACACTAACCACCCCACCATGTACACTGACCTCAGTGCCACATCCCCAGGGTTCCTGAACACCTCCAGAGATGGGGGATCCCAACACCTCCCTGGGCAGCTATGCCATTGCAGCACCAGTCTTTCTCCTAATATCCAACCTGACCCTCCCTGGTGCAATATGAGGCCATTACTTCTCCTCCTATTGCTGGTTACACTGCTACATCACATCCACATGGAGAAGAAAGCTTGCCCTGCTCATCACAGCCAAAGAGCAGAAGTCCCAGTGCTGGCAGGTGCAAAGAAGAGGTAATATGTACAACCTCCCAGCTTGCATATCCCAGGGATGAATTACAGCCATCAACATCCGCTGGAAGCCATCCAGAGGACAGGAAGCCTAGTAGAGAAGGGCAACAAGGGAAGAAAACACCATAAAATAAACCCATAAATCGGTATTATCCCACCCATAAAACAGCAGCCAGTCAAAACTTGGAGCACAGCAAGAAAGACATCTCAACACTCACACCAAACCTTACCAAAGGCAGCTGTGTCGTCCCCACCTGCACCTGCCAACATGTACAGGAAGGCATTCCCCCAAAACAAGGCTCAGCTACAACTCAGGACAAGTCTGGGCTCAAGATCTTTGACCCGTGGTGTTTTCTTCATCATGTGCACAGAGAACGCCTCATCAATCAGTTCATTTGCTAAGACAGCCCCTTCCAAGTGTCTCCTGGAGGGAAGCACAACCATCTATTGTTGATCTAATTTGCCTTTAATTACAAAAGTTACAATCGGGTTGGGAGTGCTTTCCTAGCTGGAGCCTACAGAAAAGCCTTGTAAACCTGATCCTCTGGAGCCCTGTCTATTAAAAGGTTATTTCCCCCTGCAACACTGATAAGATTTAGCTTGATGTGGAAGAGTGTATGCAGCCGGTACACCAGAGAGGTCTTCTCCAATTGAAGGGGCCTAATAGCAAAAGACAGAAGGGGAGACAGGCCAGCCAGATCTGTTAATGCACACCAGCAAGAAATGAAGAGAAATCAAAGCAGACTGGCAGCAGCTTTAATTCGGCAGCATCCATCCACCGCTGTGCTAATGACCCTGAATGCTCAGCTCCTCAATGCCGTGCTGCTTCCCCCCAGCTGACTCCAGGCACAGCACTGGAGTGGGTGTATGAGCAATGACAGGGCGGACAGATGGAAGCGAGGGGGGAGAAAGGCCCTACAAGGCAGTGCTGTGAATGGGATCCGATAGGGCAGCGATCCAAGATGCCACATGCGATACATCGGTCTACTTCAATCAAGGTCTACCTCAAAGAACAAGGATGGGAGTGCTGGAGCTGATAAATCTTCAGGCTTGTCAGTGCTCCGGCCCCAGCCCTGCACAGGGCTAAGTTAATCAACAAAGCTCACGTAAAGAACAACTCGGCTGCAAAGCTCAGCCCCCTCCCCAAAGCCTCCACTCTTGGCTGATCTCAAGGAGCGCACGACCAACCTTTGCCCCTGGCCCAGGTGAAGGAGCGACCCGTCGCCAGGCTCCCTGCCTCCAGCACAGCAGCCTCGCTCTGCCAGGGCTGCGAGGGCACCTCACCAGCTCTGCTGCTGCTCTTCAGAGGTGCGATGTACTTGGGCAGCCCTTTGTAAAACCACGCGCCGGACCTCTTCCAGACCTGTTGGAGACAGAGACACAACCAACACCTGAAGCCATGATGAACAAGTGCTGCACTAACGAGCGTGCCTGAATCCCCCCAGAACAAGAACAAGAAATAGTCTGATCCTGCAGCCGAAAGTGAGCTGAGAGAGCTGAGCTGTAATATTTCTTGTAAGAACGCCCTCTACTCTTCAACTGAGTTTTAATGTGGCTCATGATGAAAATGCTCTTATTAAGTCTATTTAATACAAAGCCTGCTGACAGCCAAGAGGAAGGGGAGAAGATGGCAGCTCAGACAAGGAGAAATGGTCTCCAAAAACGCAATTCTTTTGTGCCTTCCAGCAGTCTAATAATAAGCTAATGAGGCAGCCAGGGCAAAAAGAAGTTAATATTACTATTTCATGCAAGGGGTTAGAAGCCTTGTACTTCTGTTCAGAGCAGAGGAGATCATAAAGGTTTCTACTTCAAGTTCTCAAAGCATTTTATATGTAGCATCACCACAATGGCAGCAGGTACAAACGCAGATATCCCTAATTACAGCAATAAGTTTGCAGCTTGCATTTTAACCACAGGGCTTAATCAAAGCAGAGGGCAGCGACAACACCTGGCGCTCACCAACAGCTCTTTCAGCACAGGCACAGAAAGCAGAGCACTGCCATCACCATCTCACTGATGGGAGGAGATCACTCAGCAGATTGCCTGGTTCCTCCTGCAGAGCCATCAACACAGAGAGCTGGAATGGTCGGGGTCGTGAAACCCAGGTGAAAGCGACGCGCACACGGAGCAGCGCGGTGCTGCAGGAGGATGCGCGGTCCCTGCAGGGCAATGCTGGGGAGGAAGCAGCCTTTCTTGACAGTTGTTATTCGAACAGACCTTGCAACATCTGTAATTTAATTTGAAGCACTGGAGAGACCTATTATCTCCAGGCGAACTACAATTTCAGCAGAACATAAAACCAATCAGACACAGCGAGGACTGCGGTAAGGAAAGGTTGGTCACCTCCAGGTTCTCCCATTACCCCCACAAAGCGAGCCCAGCTAGAGAAAGAGTTCAGTGATACAAAACACCCAGCTCTCATCCAGTAATACCACATCGATTCCGAGCATTCACTTCCAATACTTCGCTCTCATTACAGCAGTACTGAAGTTGTTCTGAGATCAGTTCTAAAATAGCTGCAGCTTTAGGGAGATGCTCTCCCCTGCAATAACTCAGCACATTGCTCCCTGCAGGTTTCCAGCACAACCCCCCCCAACAACAACACACGGTTCCAGTGCTGTTCTGCACTTGGGCACGCAGGTTGGGTTCAGCCTGCATCCATCACAACGAATCGATGCCACTGACTGCTCGTGATGCTCGTTTCATTGATTGCCAGAGTGGCCCAACAGCAAAGCTCCTACTTGATTTTAAATTAATACATCTATAACAGTGCTTTGGAGTCCTGTTTATTAGCAGGTTTGCTCTTTGCAAGGAGAAGAGTTTTGCTCTCATAAGCCCTTGACAGAACAAAGATGTGCATCAGTGCCATCCTAACCCAGGACGCAGAAGCCTGGAGCACAGAGGATCTTCCCTGCAGTGGTTCAGTCCTTCAATCCTGCTGCTTCCCAGCCAAGCACAACAGAAATCCATGCTAAGTATTGACTGCCTTCAGGCTGCTGTCCTTCTGCCTCCCCCGACGACTCATCCACCCAAAAGCAAAGCGTGGGGAAGAGGAATTGCTTGAGCCAGAGATCCTCTCTGCATTACTTTGAACAATTCAACAGCCATGACAAGGCTGGAGAGCTCAACACATTTTGTGACCCCAACAACACCCCATCACAGCTGCACCAATCCACCAGCACAGCCACAGGATGAGGCTGCATGCTGGCAGTCAGCAGCAGATGCACACTTTATCCAGCACTCTCAGCACAGCCTGCAAATGGAAAATCACCAGGTCCTGCTGACACCCCGCTCAGGGCTCTGCAGAACTCTGCTTTCCCCTTCCTCTGAAAACACGGGTACTGAACAAGCCCCCAACCAGGCCCAGCCTTCGGGTTGCCATACACCACAGAATCGTTAAGGCTACAAAAGACCTCTACAATCACCCAGTCCAACCACCAACCCAACCTCGCCGTGCCCACAGACAACACCCCCAGCTCTGCAGTCCCCATGCAAGAGGGAAGCCACTGCTGTGAGTTCCTGTGGGCTCTCTCAGCAGAACAAAGCACACCTGCAACCCAGGAGGACACGGTTGCCATTGCCCTCACGCAGCACATCCCACCCACCCCGCTGCCACAGCTCCAAAACGCAGCAAACCGCTGGCAGGGAGAAAGAGAGCACGCTCCTCAGCCTCGCTATTTGCATTCATCTGCCTTTCCATAACACAGAGCTTTCCAATTACATTATTTACAGCAATCTGTTGTCAACTCCCACATTCGGCACTTGAGGATGAAGAAAATTAAAAGGCGGTGAAATTGTTTGGGGCTTTGTTTCTGGAATAGCAGAACGCGTTTCACCTCTGACCCCAGCGCTCCTCCAGCAGCAGTGCCTGCCGTCCTCCAGCCATTTATCATTCCTCTCTCAATCACACTCTGGTTTTTTCCCCTGTGGCTCTGTTCTAAGGACACTATTTCGAGTCGACCCACTTGCTGCCGCCCCCCAAAATAACACGGCAGGCTACTGATGAGTCCTCTGAATTGCAAGCAGGTGCACATCCATTCCACCCAGAGCCACCCGAAATAAACACTCCTCTCCATCAGGAGGTTTGTTTGGCCATACCAGGCAGGAATAACCCTGGGCTATGTTGCTTTATGATGTTCAAAGTGTACAAGGGAAAAGGGAAACCCTGGGGGCAAAAGGGGAGGAGATGGCTGCTTGTTCCAGCACAGTAATCTTCCTTTCCTCTGCACGGTTTATTTCGATAAACCCAGAGATGCAGCCAGCCATGAAAATGTCATTTAGCAAAGGAGAAGAAATTAAAGGGAAAATGAAGCAGAGGGGCAAATTAAAACTTTAGCAGGTCCCGAGAGCTGACACGTTCCTTCATATTTGATGGGGTTTAAAAAAAGCCATCTCCCCCCACCCTACTTAAACTGCTTTCATTATCACTACAATTTTGGATGTGTCAATTCAAATGTAAATGTGTACGAATGCTTCCAAGAGGGTTTTAATTACGATGATAGCATCGCTAATTATGGATATGAAAAAAGCCCGTACATGAAGCGGTGGTTCAGCGAGGTGCTGTGCACAGCCTGCTATCAGCCAAAACATGCAGCAAACAATGCATGCCTGACCCTCCACAGTCAGTCTCCAGCTAGGCAGAGAAAGGTGCAAAGCCAAGAAAGGCGATGCAGCACGTAGGGAAGAAGGAAGGTCCTGCCCCTTTGAAAGCAAACATAAAATGGATGGAGTTTGCTTCTTGAGCAATAAAACACAATCCATGGCAGTGATAGCTCTGCCACACTCAGAGGATGTTGCGAAGGAAAATGCCCTGGAAGAACAAAAGTGTTTTTTCAATGGATGTTTCTGCAGGCAGTGGGACAAGCGGTCTCCTCTCTCCAATAGGCTGCTCCTGGCTTAGCAGTGGCTCTGTCTTATTTAGAAGTGTCTGCTGCCCCTGGGGATGTTCCCTTTGCCAGCAGGCTCTGCCAGGTCCCAGCATGGTGACAGTGCAGTGCTTTCCCTGTGCAAGCACACATCACACCGGGCAGCTCCAGTGCTACCCAGTGCAACGTTTTGCTTCTGGATGACTGGGATGCAGGCAGCAGGCAGAATCCATTCATCACCTCCACTCTCCAGAAATCAAACTGTCAGAGCAACTTAGCTCTCACTGCTATGCAGCACAGCCTTCCCAGTGGAGCTTTCCAAGGAAACAAAACAGCAAAGAACACTTTGGAGCTGCTGAGGCTGAGATTCCCAACGGGATCTGTGGGCATCGAGCACTTGACTCCCACTGAAAAACCGATGTAAACAACTGCCTGTTACACTGGTCTTTGTTTGACCCAGGTCACACACTGATGGTTTAATCACAACTGAAACCAGCACAGATTTTGTCCGCACAACGAAGGAGCGAAGAAAATTACCATGTCACTACATTTTCACTAGCTTCAGCCAAGCCTACAGGGATAAATAACAACAAGATGGAGGGATGAGAGCTGCACGCTTTGGCTGTTAGCTAATGTATGTGAACATCCAACACCACCACCCTGCCTTTACATTCTGACTTGTTCCAGGGGATCAGCTCTCCACGTTCGGTCTCCAGAAAGGCAATGCAAGGTGCAAAGCCAAGAAAGGCAATGCAATGCAGAGGGAGGGAAGGAGGAAGGGCCACAACCTGCTCCCTCGGTGCATGGCAGGGGCTAAAGGGACAGCTGCAGTCCAAGTGGTGGGATCACCTACCTCAGAAAGGTGACAGCGGCTTGCTAATGCATCACACGACCCCAGGTGTTTTTGTGGCCTCCTGTCTGGATCCCAGGACACAAAACTGGGCCAATATCCCCTCACCACAAAGCAGATTCAAAGGCCAGACAGAAACAAGACTCCGTGATCCCAAAAAAAGCAGGTGTCCATCTGCACTCGTTGATGGCAAATATAAACTTCAGTGACAAGTGTAGCCAAATGGGTTTGGTCCAGAGCAGATGGCAACACAAGGCAGATCCAGATCACAGCAACAGACAGAGACAAGGAAACTGTGGTGAACACAACAGATATTCTGCATGGACTCTGTCCTGTCATGGCACCCAAAATGGCTTCATGGAACAGCCAGGCCATTGCAAAGAGGGAAGGAGACAGACCTGACCTGACCTTTGAAGCAATCAGAATAAGACAGACAAAGCTGAGGGCTGTGAGGTAAGATGTGGGTATGTTTGAGGCTGTCTCAGGGGGAAAGTTCCATCCATTTTCATTACAGAAGTGCTCTGGCCATATCTCTGAGGGTTACCATACCCTGACACGGCCGCACATAGCACTGGATAATGTTCTTCTCTGTCTGTGGCTGCTCATTATTTTTATAAGGAAAGTGGAACAAAAGAAGAAGAAGAAGAAAAAAAAAGCAATTATACATTGGGGACTGAGGAAAAAAATACAAAAAGAAGAAATGAAGTAATTTTCAGTTCCATACCCATCTCCCAGCACAACACTGCCCTGACCTGCCACACTTCAGAATGGCCATCTGGATTACACAACATCTGGATGAGTCAGTTCATTAAGCAATTAGCAGCACCCAGGGAGCAGGATGCCCTCTGTTTGCCCCAGCCACGCTGCCACCCAGCAACCAAAGGTGGGCACAGCCCTCATCCTACCTGCACAGCAGCTTTCCGGGTGCTCCCACACAGATCATCTCCTCCTGTTTAAAACCTGAGCTCTGCTACGCTCCCACAACTCCTACAGAGACATTCTCTGCCTCAAACACCTGCAGAAATGATCTCACTGCACTTCAGAAACTGACGGACAGGTTTCAGGAATAGCTGCGCTGGGTGGATGCTGGAGGACCACGAGGGGTAAATCCTTCTGTCATCACCAAATTCAGCAGCTCCACTGCAGAGCAGCAAGCCCTGGGGCTGGCTGGCAGAGGAGGATGAAGCAGGCCATTACTTATGGCTGTGTAAAGTCAAGGATGAAGGATACAGAAATGCAGAGACCTGCATTAGACGTCTCACAGGGTGGCGATAGGATTTTACAGGAGGATTTGGGGGGGAAAACTGAGCTGAAAGCTGCAATTGAGTTATTTTTAGAGGGACAAATATTGCAGATGTATTAAAGAACCAACGTTAGCCAGGTTTATTTGCATGGAGCCAGAAGGAAAACAGCGTGGCAGCAGAAGGCAACAGCCTCTTTATAACCACAGTAGGGAAACACCACAAAGCAATACACAGGGCAGGGTCAGTGCATTTATTCCCCATATCCCATCACAAACTGTCACCACCCTGTGCATGGCCTGAGCCCAAAGACCCCATCCAAGCCTCCATCCCAGTGCAGCCCACGCTCTCTCAGCACAATGCTGCATTTTACCTCTCTTTGTTCACTGCAGATCTTGCACAGCCAAAGGGGACGTTTCTGGGCTCCAAAGGTTTCGATGCCACATTTGGTGCAAACTTTCTGAAAGAAGGAGGGGAAAAAAAAAGGTGGTGTAAGCAACACCCCACATCCATACAGCCCTCAGCAGAGGAAGGCTGAGAAGCACCTGCCCCACCAGACCTGCTCTAATACATTCCTTAAAGTAAATAAAATGGCACAGTTCTCTTATTCATCCTGGATAAACGCATCCAAAAAGATGCTTCAGATCTATAGGGGTCCTTGACAAAGGCAAACCTACAGCACAGCCCTTGGCTGCGGGTGAGAAGAGAGTCGGACAGCACAAATCAATCCTCGCAACCTACAGACACTCCCAGGGCCTTTTCTTTTTTATTCCTCCAAATCCTAAAACCCAATCGCTGTGGTGAGGAAAGCAGCTGCAACCAAGCACAAAACGAGCACAAGTTTGTGCAAAACCATAAATCCTCTCTTCCCTTCCCTACACACAGCCTGAAACCCCCTGGCTTCCCCTTGCTTTCAGCAGCTTGGCAGTATTGATTTGTGGCTGCCGAGGCAGCGGGCACGGACGCACGTTGCCTGAGCAGAATGCTTGATAGCAGCACATGGCAGCTTATTGCTGCACGAGGGAACTTTCACATCCTCACCAGCATTATGAGCCATTTACAGCCCCAATCACCTCATATCATCTAATGAAGCGGATGTGTATCAGGCTTGGCTTGCAGTGGGGAGAGAAATGGGATAAATTCTTTGATCCTCGCAGAGCAAAAGCTGCTCGCAGCCTGGAAAGCAAAGCCTGGCTTAGAGAGTCGATGCCTGCGGTGCTTTAGGAAGGGCAGAGGAATAAAGAGCAGCCTAAGTGCTTTGGTGCATAGATATTCAACGTGGTGCTGCCCAAGCCAACAAGCGCAGGCAGCAAGCGGTACTGCAACGATCACCTTCACAACTACCCCAAATTCTCCCCTTTTCAAAACAAAATCTGGGGGAGCACCTCAGCCATAAATACACCCTCACAGATCCCGATCCCTGCACGTATAGGACATTCAAACGCTCCCTCTAGCGGGAGCTTCCAAGTGCTTTTACTCCCAGCCATAAATACCGAAACCTCCAGCACGAAAAGAGGGCTCTCCTCCTCCCTTCCTCGCAGCCTAGCTGGAAAACTGAGTGTCACCCACAGCCTCAGAAGACATAAAAAGCAAGGGCAGTAAATACAGCCTTATTCCTAATTAAACACAAGATAAAGCACTTTCTTCTCCTTTTATATGTGGACCTGATACCCTCTGCACGATAAACTGCACATTATGCTCTAACTACTGCTAATGTTAACACATCTGTGTTAGCAAACATCTTTTTCTTGCCATAATGCATTTATTCCCAAGGTAATAAAAAAACAATATTAAAATCATTCTTCATTTTGACCTATAAATGCAGAAGCAGGAAGTGGCACTTAGAAAATCCATCAGGCAACAAGAGCTATAGAGCCCCTATTCAGCAGACGGGATTCATGGAAGATAAGTCCTCCGCTGCATCTCAGATGCATCATTACAGCAGTCCCTGTCATTGGGCTAAATGGGCTGCAATGACTTTCCAGTGAGATGGTAAGAGAGCAAAGCTACCAAGAAAAATACCAACTTATAAAATCCATAGCTTATAATGCTAAAACTGCATCAGTGATGGATACTGCTGGGCTGGGGATGAGCTTTAAGTACCAGCCCACTCTGCGTGCTCTGCTGAAGGGTGGTATGCTGTGGGCTGACACCAAAACAGAGAGGGGACGAGCCCAGGGCACCCCGCAGCTTTTGCCTCCATGCATCAGTGCATGGGGCTCGCAGGGCAGAGGTTAGCAAGCGCTGCAGCAACATGACCTAGCTGGCTTCAGGTGAGAGCAGAACGGCCAGGGGAAGGAGGCAGGAATACGGCATATCCTGTTATTCTGCATGCTTGAAAAGCAGGAAGCAGCCAGCCGCCTCCTGTCTGCCCAGCAACCCTTTATTCTCCCCAGGCACGTCTGCACAGAGCCCACGCTCCTCTCCAAGAGCTGTCCTGAAGCTCCCCTTTATGCCAGACCCTTTGCACCTCTGTACCTTCCTGCTGCTTCCTTTCCCAGCCCTTCCTATAAGATCTGCTTTCCTCCCAGCTGAGGACCCAGGGGTTCAGAACTGGGCGTTTGCCACTGCCTTAAGTGTGACCCTGTGCATAACCCCAGCCTCAGCCACTTCTGAGAGCAGGAGCCAGCAGACTCAGTCCAGCAAAGGCAGCAGTGCTCACAGCAGCATGGATGGAGTGATGCTGGCACCTCGCAGGAGCTTCTCCATCAGAGCTGCCCAACGTGGAGCTCCCAACACATGCCAGTGCATGGCACAGGAACAAGATACACTCAGAGCATCCACAGGATGTCTCAGTGATGGGGTGAGTGGCTTAAGTGAGAGTCCCCCTAGCTACAGTTCCCCAAGGACCCTTCCATCCACCCACGGGGACCCTCACCACACTGAGGCAAAGCCACTTACAGAGACATCTCCCCTGGCAAAGATGGCCTTCAAGTGCTGGAGAAGCAGCCTCCCAGCAGAGGGAGGATCAGGTGGTTGCCTTGGAGATCATCATCTCCACAGCAGTGAGGCTTAACCCCTGCCTGCCTGGGATCCCAGGCTGCAGCGCAGGGTGTGGGGAACACAGCATGCTGATACTCCAGCATCTGTACAGCCTTCCCACCAACACACCCCACCACCAACACACAGGGCAATTCGTGTGTCAGGGTCAGGAACTTCACACCAGTTTAGAACATCAATCATAGAATTACAAGGGTTGAAAAAGACTTCTCAGATCCCCACCATGCCCACTAACCACATCCCTATGTGCCACATCCCCACCTTTCACAGGCCAGGCACTCCAGGATCGTGAGCAATGAGGTAAGCAGAGAAAACAGCTTGACAGCACCGACCCAGTTATGCAGGACTAAGATGACCCCACAGAGCGATCCAGCTCGCCACTTTCACAGAGCCCTGCTGGCTCCAGGCAGGATCCCCTGGTGAGCAAACCCACCTTTTTGCAATCCTGGCAGAAAACTGACGTGCTCCCCAGCAGCCCCAGCAGCTCACTGCACAGCAAGCACTGCGACAGGCCATTGCCCATCGCGTTCTTCCTCATGTTCTCCAGCCGCTCCACCAGGCGCCTGCAGGGAACAAAGCCAAGTGGAGGTGATTCCAGATCTACAGGAAGAAGGCATGCCAAGAACCTGCGGGTGTGTTGCCCCACTCAGCCTCCTTGTGGGATTTTGGGCCTTTTGCTGGGACTGAATGTGCTTTCTCTTCAGCCTCTGTACTCAAGCATTTCCTCAGGCTTGTTATTAGGAAGTATTTTGCTTTTGGAAGAGTGGTGCTGCAGTGGCACAGCTGCTCAGGGGGGTGGGGGAATGTCCATCCCTGGAGGTGTTCAGGAACCGTGGGGATGTGGCACTGAGGGAGGTGGTCAGGGGGCACGGTGGGATTGGATTTGGGCATCTGGTCTTTCCCAGTCTGAATGATTCTGGGATTCCATGAGCTGGCTTTTAGTCTCCCTGCTTTGGGCTGACTGCAGACCCAGCTGAGGCCAGATCTCCAGCAGGACTGAGAGCAAATAGAAATCTGCAGCAGCAAAAAGGGAAAAGGTGCCAGTAAATGAAATAGTTCAAGCTAACAAACCCTTCCAGAGAACTCAGCCAAGTAGAACACAAACCCATTCACTGCTCCAGGCAAAATCCCACAGGGCTGCTGCTGTAGGCAAGGGAAAACCCGAGTGTGCTGCCAGGGATGGAGCCGTGCTGTCCACCAGCAGTGATGCAGCTGCACAGCTCTGCATTTCCCTGAGCCCATTCCACAGCCACTGCCTCAGCAGCTGCTTTATCACAGGCTGCATTCAGTGGCTGCAACCACAGCAAGCCCCAAAGCTCCAGGAAGACATGGGAAACCATCTTCCAACCTTCCCAGTGTTTGTTGCCTCCAAACAAGCAACATGGCAGGGGGAAAATGAGCTGAAGGGATGCTGTAAGGGCTGGAGGCTGAGCTCAGACACTGAGAGAGCTGCACCTCTGCCTGTACTGTTCCCATAGGGAAGGAACAAGCAAAGGTACCCGATGCGCTGCTGCTCCACAACGTCCAGCTTCTCTGCCTTGCGGATGACTTCCAGAATGACCTCGAGCTCCTGCGGGCTCAGAGCCTGCATCTTCCTCTGCTTCTCTGTCTGGAACGTGTGCACTGACCAGCCTGTCTGGAGCCTGTGGGGAGGTACAGACAGAGAAACTGAGCTGTGAAAGCAAAACCCAAGCCCTGCTATACCAAGTCATGCCCACCGACCACATCCCCCAGTGCCACATCTCCACGGTTGTTGAACATTCTCCAGGATGGTGACTTCCCCCTTCCCTGGGCAGCTGTGCCACGGCAGCACTGCTCCTTCAGACAAAAAATCTTCCTAATACCCAACCTGTCTTTGCAGCGATGGGCAGCAATGCCAGGCACCACAGAAGCCCTCAGCAGACTGCAGAGCACAAGGACTACCTGCACTGTCTTCCTTCCAGCGCCTGAAGCCTTTAGGAGCTTCCCTCCACGCCTATGTACAAAGCTGACATTTCTCCTTGGCTCGCTCGGAGCTTTCACAGCTCAATTAATTACCGTTTAGTAGGAGTTTAGAGGTCACTGGCTGAAGTCAGGGCTGCTGGCAGAATGCAGGGCACTATCAGGCCTGGCTGTTGTAATGAGGCACTCAGGTGGAGGCAGAAGCACTCAGACAGCCATGGAATGACCCATAATTTTCCAGCAGCTGACCCCAGTGCTCAGCCAGGAGCAGTAGCAGCGCCAGAGAAGCAAAGCATCTGAGTAAGAAATGCAATTCTGGCACTTGACTCATCTCCATCCCTTCATCTTTAGGTTACGCAGTCATTTAACTTCAGGGGAAAATAAGACCGAGTGACAAGATCCTAAAACAAAGGAGCACTGGGGGCTGCTACCAGCTATACGGAGGGTGTATGTATACAGCTGCAGAGGTGCTGCTCTTCCCTTCAGCCAGCTGGGACTCACTTGGCACGCAGAGCCAGCTGCCGGTCATTGGGGCACACCCAGGGGCCGGTCCCACTGCCAAAAATCGTGTCGGCCATGGCACACCTGGAAGGAGACAAAGCACCGTGAGGCACAGCCGTCCCAAAGCGATGTCCCAGAGGCGACCCGCTGGCGTCACACGCCCGCAGACAGCAATAAAAGCATGCCATCATCTCCATGAAATACGCACCAATAAATAGCTCCTAACGCTGCACCCAGACAAAGCTGGGAGCTGAGATTTTATAGCGCTCTGCAAAAGGCCACGGGCTGTCAGATCCGCTGCCATTTTTCATTTCAAAGCCAGAGAAAAGTGTTGTTTGCTACGATCTCTGCCCCGTCACCTCCGGAGCCCCAGCACTGCGGTGGCTCTGAAGGACAGGAGGACGCGGCGCTTGCTGGGTTTTCACCCCTTAATTGGGGTAACAAGCAAAAGCCCACGCAACGATCAGCACAAACAGTGGCAAGTCGCTCCGTTCATCAAAGCTGCCGCTGTAAGAGCCAGATATTTATAACACAGCCTACAATAGCAGCTTGTTTGCATGTGCTGCAGGCAGCACCTCTCCCAGCAGCGCTCCTCCTGCGCTCGCACCGGCACCCAGAAGGGCAGCCGGCAGATTTCAGCACAGGCACTGCGATGCACCGAGCCTTCCTCCCACTGGATCAGCTCCCTAACGCATACATTTCCAGGTATTAATACTTACCTTCCCCAGAACAGACACATGCCAGCTTTGAAACCATACCTGCTGAGCAGAGATAACGCGCTTAATGCTGTTTGGCAAACAACACATCAGATCCAACAGCAGCGAGTCCCACCACCTGCCAACCGCGCCGTAATTCCCAAGAAAACACATGTTCCAGCCTCGATTCACAGCACACTCACCCGGCGCTGTGGCTCTGCGCCTGCACCCACGCCTGCTGCTGACACTGAGCTTCCGTGCCAGGCACAGAGCCCTGCAGCACACACAGCCTTGGCCCTTTTATAGCAGCAGCAGCTCGTGCAGATCGATCCAACCCTGTGCTGCAATCAGTCCCGGCACAGAGCGCTGACCTGGGCTGCACAGCACGTGATGCAACCCATCCTGAAGGGTCAGCTCTAGATCACAGAACTGTAGGAAGGGACCCTTAAGGCTGTCTGGTTCAACTCACTGCAAGGCGCAGGGACACCTGCAGCTCCCTCAGGAGCTCAGAGCTGCTCCAAACCAGCCTGCCCTCCCACTCAGGCACACATGGAGCAAAGCACAGCCCATGCACCACAGTGCCCAGCACCTAGGGGTGCCTGTCTAGAAGTCAACCCCAGGACAGGCACGTTGCTGTGCACACAGGGTGAGAAACAGCTGAATGCATCCTGCCCTGTTCTGCAGAGCTTTACCTGCTCCAATGGGGCTGAAGGCAAAGTCAAAATGTTGCTGGCTCTGCACTTTGCCTCTGTGAGATGCCCAGTTGGATGCAAGTGCCTCAGTGGAGGAAATGAGAACACTATGGGACTGCAGGCTCTGCTGGGGGGGAACAGGAACAGCAACGGGGTTGGAAAGAAAGGAACACACACAGCCACAGGACTGCTGACACCAGAATGGGGACAGCACAGAGCATCCTCCCTCTTATCTCTGTCCAGGACATGGAGTGCAGCACAATCAGCCTAATCAGAAACACTGATAGCAGAACCACACCAGGCTGAGGAGTCGTCTCCATGGTCTGCATTCTTTCCTTCCCATCATCCTGTGACCTGCTGAACAGCCCTCCACCTGTTTGCTCCTTTCCCTATGATGGAAGAAATCAGGCGGAACAAATCCTCATTAAAGCTGTGTGCACCTGGCTGTGCTCAGCAGTGAGCCAGCAGCATGAGGGGAGGGGGAATGTGGAACCACACCACTCTGCAGCTCCAACAGGGAGCAGAGGGGAAGCAGAAGCAGGGCTGTGCTGGTGACAACCCTGCAGTGTAGAACTGGAAGTCTCTTCCTGCTGGGCAGCCCTGAGGGATGCTCCAGGTTCACATCCTCCTCCTCAAACGGTGACTACATCACAGTTAAAGCCGAAAGGTTTTGCTGACATTGAGCTGCCTGCGGGTGCCCACAAAGCATGAATTCCTCACAGCCCTGCAAACACCACAATGCCCTCCACAGACCCATCAAGAGCTCCCCAGCTAGTTTTCACGGCCTGGTTATTTCAGCTAAGCAGCTCGCAATCTGTTTTAATTTGTTTTTATAGGAAATTAATTAGGCAATTATTTTTTCTTTTAAATACTTTAAAATGAAACAAAAACGAAGCAGTGGCACAGAGCTGAGCTCCTGCTCCCCAGCTGCTGTAATTACCTCTCCTGCTTCGAGCTCACGGCTTCCCCCAGGACCACCACACACATCAGAGCCATCCCAGCCCCACATCCCTTCCAGCCACTCCCGCAAAGACGTGCTGCAATTACTCTCTGCTCCGGCACCAGACCCCATTATCCCCATAACCTTAGCAACTGAGCGAGCATTCGTTCCAGTTGCTATGACAGAGGAGAAATGAGAGAGATAAGGGCACCGGGCTCCATGGGTGCAGGAAGGCTCCTTTGCAGGACATGAGGCTGTTTGAAGGCAATGAGTGGTGTGACTGTGCCCAAACAAGCACCAGCCTCAATCAGGGCTTTGCTGCTCATACAACACAGAACAGTGGAATCTTTAAGGCTGGAAAAGACCCCTGAGACCCTCGAGTCCAACCCCCACCGTGCCCACTGATCACATCCCTCAGTGCCACATCCCCACGGCCCTGGGACACCTCCAAACAGAGCACATGGGGAATAAAACAGAAGGTTCCATGCCCCGCAGCTGCTCCCCAGGCACGGCAGCAATGGCAGAAGCCCAACTGCATTAAGACGGCGCTTATTAAAGACATTACAAAGCAAAATGCCCTGCAGGTCCATGCCAGTCCTGGGAGGGGGAAGATAAAATCAGCTCTACAGGAAAACCGGCACACGGCACCAACGAGCCTGTATTAATGAGAGGCACCCATTAACGTGGCTGCTTGATACGTGGTGAGCCACAAAGGAGCAGGCTCTGCCCAAGCAGATCCACTCATCCTGCAGCCCGCAGTGCAGGGGAGGGCAGCCAGGTGGGTCTGCAACGTGGGTCCATCCGTACCCATCCAGCCTGAGCCCTGCAGGTGCTTTGCTTGGTGCATAATTCATGCTGCTCAGCTCTTTGACTCACGTTCTGGAGCAGCCTGACCTGGCACAGGGCTCCGAGAAGCAAATTAGCATCTAAACGGCCAATTAGAGAAACTAATTTCTCTATGCTGATGCACTACCCAGCTCAGGAGGCCTGGGCAGAACCCGCAGCTCCAGCCTCGAGTTTCTTAGAAAGAATTGGACGCAGACGGGAAAGGCAGAGCCAAGGAACCGTGTGCCAACCCCCGCGGTGATCTTGCAAGAACCAGGAACTGCCCTGCCAGCCGCTGGCTGAGGCGGCCACGGGCTCTGCCGCTGGTGAAATGCCGCCTGAGCATCACCGAGGTCGCACCGCCCCGCTGAACGCGACTCCCATCCGCCGCCGGGGCGAACGAGAGGGAACCGCGGACTTTGACCCAGAGCTGAGGATGTGCGCAGACCCAACGCCCCGGGACCGGCACAGCGCGGCACCCAAAGGAGCAGCAGCGGGACGGGGCCCGCACGCGGCCGCCCCCGAAGCCCATCAGCCTCACGGGGAGCGCTGCCTCCGGCCCCGCACCTCTCGCCCGTTCCCCAGCCCTCCGCCGCTCCCTCCCAGCCCCGTGAACGTCACCCGGCCGCGTTGCAGGCGCACTTGGCAGCGGTTTACGGGACACCCTCCCGCCCTCGGAGCCTCCTCCCAGCAGTAGCACGGGGTCCGGCACCCCGCCCATTCCCCGCGAAGCTCCGCCCGAAGTCCCGCTCCCAGCGCAGGGGTCAGCCCCACCACCCGCGGCTCCGTCCCCTCCCGGAGCCTCCATCCGTCTGTCCGTCCGTCCGTCTGTCTGTCCGTCCCCGCGGGGCAGCGGCACAAACACAACGCACCTGCACCGCACCGCTCCGCTCCGCGCGCCCCCGTGGGCAGAGCGCCCCCTGGCGGCACCTCGCCGCTGCACCGCCCCGGAGCGGAGCGGGGCGGGGCTGCGGGGTGCGGCGTCGGAACCGGGCGGGGGATGAAACGCACCTGTAGGGAAAGGGGGAGGGCAGGAAGGGAAGTGAAGGGGAAGGGAAAGAAAGCGAGGTAAAAGGAAAAAGAACCGAAGTAAACGAAGTGAAGCCAAATAGTAAACAAACAGAACCAAAATAAACCAAGAGAACCAAAATAAACAAAAAGAAGGAAGCAAACCAACCCTACCAAGCTCCGAAGGGCGGAGCGTGCTGGCTATGTGCACGACTGGGAAGTGGCACGGATGGGGCTCTGTGCAGAGCTCTGGGCTCGGATTGGGGTCGGAAAATCGGATTTTGTCACAATGAAAGGAATTCATGCCGTACCTGGTGGCAGGAGGTGCATTGCTTCAGTAAAATGTCACCTGGGCATGCTTTTCTACCAGTCCACCAGCGGTCCACCAGCTGCCATTGCAGCCCTCCATCACCAAGGGGATGAGGGAATGGCAGCCCCGTGGTGCCCCATGGCTGAGCTGCGGTCCCTCTGCAGCGCTGTGTGTCACTGCCATGCGCAGAGCAATGCTGGGTCCCAGCCAAGAGGACAAGCTCAGGCCAGCCCTGGCTCCATGGCTGTCTTGGAGACATCACCAAGCAGCAGGAGGACGCGGGGAGATGGAGGGGAGAACGCTGAGGAGAGGAACAAAACAGGGAGGTGAGCAGAGAGATGGATGGGAAAGAAGGGGATGGGTCGAGATGGAGGGGCTGGGGAAGAGGAAGTGATGTGCTGAGGGCAGGCGGATGGGGATGTGGGGCAACGAACATCTCTCCACTGAACCCCTCCTTACCTTCCCAGGCTCGGGAGCTGCCACAGTGGCAAGTAGACGTCAGGGGGCCAAGGGCTGCACACAGGGCCTGGAGAAGCCAGCAGAGCAGAGCACTGCTGCCATGCAAGGAGGTAAGATGGGCTGGGGAGAGATCACACAGCCACAACTTGAGGCCAGATGTGAACCTACACAGCTCCCACCGAGCGCTCCATCTGTGGCCATATGGGTATGTAAGTGCATGGTGCAGGTGTGGGAGTTGTTAGGTTAACCTAGCAGACAAACCTGTGCTTCCCAAATGTCGGTAGCATTTGTGATTCCTTATTAATGGACACGTGCATGGCACAGCAAATATAGGATTATTTCATCATCTTTGTTACAAAGAAAGAGCAGGAAAGCCTCAGGGCTGAGTTTCAGCTAATGGGGCTGATATCTCACCAGCAGGAAAACACCACCGCAAACCCAGAAAGCTGAAGGCTCGCCCTGCTGCACACCGTGAGGACTTCGGCCATGGGAAGAACTCTGACTCAGCCCAAAGTAAAGCCAAAGGGGCACAGGTGGGCACGGAGGTCAGCACTGTTTCATCATCAGCTTCCACTGTTTCAGACTCCAGCCAAACAGCTCTCAGCCTTTCTGCTCAGTTTAAGGAAAGCCTTCGGTGGGATGGGATCCTGGAGGACCCCGCAGCGGAGGAGGAGAGGCTGCAAACCTACAGGCTGAACAGAAGGAAGCGGTACGAGCTGTACCTGCAGCAACACCGCCCCACTGCAGGGCATCACCCATCACACTGAGCAGTGCTGCAGTTCTTTTCCAGGGCAGCAAACAGCTCCTGAATACTGAGCGAGCCCTCCGAGCTGCAGCCTGAGCTGTCAGCAGAAAGCTCTCAGCGAGCTTTGCAGCTCATTGCTCACCGGTTTGTAACCACACAAAGAATGGGATATTTGCAGGGGGGGGGGGGTAAATGATGTATTTATTTCTATGCAAACACCATAAGAACCACGGAAAAGCTTTGAGTGAAAAAGGAATGAAAGACAACGAGGCCTCCCTGCATTACGCTTTTCAGATGGTTTATTATCAGTAAAGTAAAAGACAACTGAAAATGAGAGGGGGGGACAAACTCCACAGCCATCAGAGCGTTTGCACAGAGCTGACCAGAGCTTTGCAGATGTTGGAGCATAAATAAAAAGTAAAAAGTATCTCTACTAATTAAAATACATTAAAAGGCATCGGCTTGCTTCATAAAAACCAGGTTGTGCCACCTTGGGGTTGTGTTTAAGGGACCATCTTGGTGTGGATTTGAGATGCACCCCCTAAATTCCGCTGTCTGAAGCTGATGTGTTTAATGACAACACCGTGCTGCTCTTCATCCTGGAGCAGAGCCCACCTGAACCTTTGCCACCCTGGAACTGTTTTGGGATTTGGTTACCTGAAGCAAAGATGAAGGACGTTCCGTTCTGAGCTAATAAATAAGTACAAAACCAAAAGGACGACAAAACAAACCGCACCAACTCACGCCTGCTTCCCTGTTGCAGTCTCCCAGATCAGTTCATGCTGAAGTACATTTCCACACCACTCACCCCACGTGCACATACACACCCTAAGCACAGCTCCAGGACAGGCTCCCGGGTCTCTAACTCACTAAATCCTCATTAGATGCAGGTTGAGAGCTGCCATTGCAACCTGAAGTTGCTCCCTTTGGCCCCACAACTCTCCTGCTGCACATGGCAGCAGTTTCCTGCAGCCCAAGCTGTTACCCCGTCCTCATCCCTTCTCTGCTGCCTGGAGCTGCAAAAGCAGTTTCTCTCCTGCTCTACACTTCTTTCCAAATCATACCTTCAGAGCAGACACGAATGCCATTGGATAACATTTTCAGATCTGTTAAGCACAGCACCCCAGACTTTCTGTTAGCTCTTTCCAGCAGATTCCAGGAGGCCAACTTCCAGATGAGAGTCCCATAATCCAAACCAAAATGAATGACAGCTCTGGCTGTACCTAACCCAGAGACCTGGTGGTTTGTCCGCAAGACTGAACAGCCCTTATCTTTGCACATCCCCACAAAGCATCCAATACACTTCCCCCAGCCCAACGCTATCCCACATTCTATTATTTTTTTCTCCGGGAAAACGCTTCCCCTTCTTTCCATCTGCACTGCGGGGTAGGGGAGGGAACCCTTTAACAGCAAAGAAATCCCTCACTGAGTCACACCCCCACCGAAAACCACCTGACGCTTAAAGCAGGAATAGGAGCTGAGCAAGAGGTGGGGACTGCAAAGGTGGGCTCTGCATCCAGCGCAGCAAACAGAGAGCGATAGCGTGGTGAGATGGGAGCGGGATGGATCGGAGCACCGGGACGGATCGGAGCACCGGGGACAGCCGCCGCTCAGCAGCCATCCAGGACGCAATCGCTCCCGAAACACTCAGAGGTTTCCAGCTCGACGCTGGAGAGAAAACGCCGCAGGGATTTGCGACAGTTGTAATCCAGGGTGGTGGTGTACACAGTCTTGGCGTGCTTCGGGTAGACGATGGTGGTGCTGGTGAAGCGCTGGGCTTTGTTGCGGGGCTGGAAACGCAGCTCGGCTTTGTAGCTGCGCCACGTGCAGTCGGGGACGCAGACGATGGTTTGGCTGCAGGAGGAAACGCTGAAGCCCACGGGCATGTAGACGTCGTCGATGAAGTGCTTCTCTGAGTCGTATTTCACTGAGGAGGTGTACCTGGAGTGGGGAGAGGAGGGGAGAGATGTGGGAGAGCTCTGCTCGTGCAGGTTGTGGGAAATGGAGTGTCAGCGCTGCTCCTCAGCTCTACTGCCAGCACTGGGAATCACCTCCCCACCACTGCTGTCAGGTCAGAGTGTGGGAAGCCTACAGCCATCCAGTGCCTCAACCTAGAGGGCTGCGTTCACCCTTAGGCTTTGCACAGAAGCATCCCTACTCTGTGCTGTGCTAAGTCCATACTGTACTCTCTGTTTTTCACTGTCAAGAGTGATCTTTCACCCCCTTTACGCTGCAGCAGCTCTGGGTTGGCCTTCACTCAGTGCAAACAGCCCCACTGGGCTCCTTCCCACCTCCAGGCCTGCAGATTTCTGCCCCTCCTGCACCAGGCAGAGGACAATTCCTTCCCCCTAACAAAGAGGTGGCTTCTGTGAAGGTCCTCTCCTGGTTAATGAGATGAGAGGCAGCATTTAGGAGTAAAAGCAGGGCTGTAAAACACAGGAAGTCTTCCTGGAAAAAAACCATATGGGATTAAAGAGAGGCTGAACACTCCTTCAGTCTGTGCAAATGTCCAGGTCCAGGAATGTACAGCTGCGTGAGCAACAGCTCTGCAAATAAATTAACTTGACTCACACACTGATAAGGCCCAGCTACTCCTTTATGCGCTAGCTCCTTCCAACCAGTGATGGTGTAACGCAGTATTTACCTTATTTCCTTTGGTGGCAAAGGGTCAAACTCAACGCCTTCACCAAAGGATAAAGGACACAGTCTTGGAGGGCAGCTGGAGAGAGCAGGGCTGGGAGAGAACGTGGAATTCTGCGAGAAAAGTAAAAGTAACGCCTGTAAAGTCACAGCATCGGCATATTCTGTAGTGCTTCCTGTTATGTGCAGGAGAATCTGCTGGGCAGAATGCTGGGGGTGCAACCCAAGGGCACAACACCAGACCAAGGAGGTGGGCACGGGACAGCTCTGGAGAGCACAGCGCTCCCTTTGGGAACAGCGCAGGGCACAGGGAAGGCACAGCCCACGGGCTGGCAAGGAATAAACTTCACGTGGCTGCTGTACCACAGCACCGTCCCAAAAGCATTCAACCAAAGCAGCGACGGTCCTGTGAGGTCCCACACCGGGAAGGACCGACTGCTGCAGCACAGCAGCCCCGTGCTCTCTGCTGGAAGAGCAGTGCCGAGCTCCCCGCCGTCCTCAGGGTCTCAGATCCCCCTCCGGCGCTCAGTCCGTCCCAGTTCCACCTTTGCCGTAAGAACGCTCGTACCGTAACTCAGCAGTAACGCTCAGGACCGCTTCCCGCAGCCTTGCGCGGACGCTGCCGGCTGGGAGCGCTTTGGCACACCGGCTCCAGTCCCGGCACGGACTCGGGACACCGTGAGCCGTTTTCCGCGGGGCTTTGCAGGGTCACACAACGATCCCAACTCCGACGGGAGACCGAGCTGCCCGGGGCTGGGAGCCGCCAATTCCCTCGGCGCCAGACCCCAGACTGCGGCCTCACCCGCCGTTCCCTCGAGCCGAACCTCCCTCCCGTTTCCCCCCCAGACGGACCCGAACGCCCGGGACGTACCGCAGCCGCGGAGACGGACGCATGGGTTTCGGGTTCCGGCAGTCCGTTGTGCGCGGTTCGCTCCGGACTCCCGGCGGAGAGCGGCCAGTGTGGATGGGCGGGTCCGGGGCTGGGGGGCAGCCCGGAGTCGGGGCTGTCGAGCCCCGCGTCGCCCCGCTTCCTGGCGTCGGGCAGCTCGGGAACTTCGCGCAGGCTGAGCCGCCCCACCATGGCGGCGCCCCCAGCCCGGCCCCGCTCCGCGCCCTGCGCCCGGACAGCGGCGGCTAGAGGGGCGTGGCCTATGGGGGCGCGGTCACGAGAATGGGCGTGGCTACAGCCAAAATGGGCGTGGCTTAAGGGGGTGTGACCCGCGAGAAGAGGCGTGGTTACCGCAAAGGGGGCGTGGCTAAAATAAAGGGGCGGGGGCTACGCGGCGCTCGCAGCCCTCACCGAGCGGTGGAGAAGAGAGCCGTGGGGCGTCCCGGTGGGCGTCCACTGTGCTGAGCTGAGCTGAACGCCCCGCGTTGCAAGGGTGGTGAGGCAGTGGGGAATTGTGAATCAGGTCAGAAAAGACCTCTCAGATCCCCAGGTTCAGCCCCACGGCATCCCACCGTGCCCACTGAGCACTGCCCTCAGTGCCACATCTCCGCTGCTCGAGATCACAGAATCACAGAATGGCCAGGGTTGGAAGGGACCGCAAGGATCATGAAGCTCCAACCCCCTGCCACATGCAGGACCAACCTCCCTCTTTAATACTAGACCAGGCTGCTCAGGGCCCCATCCAATCTGGCCTTGAACACCTCCAGAGACAGGGCATCCACAGCCTCTCTGGGCAGCCTGTTCTAGTATACCTCACCACTCTCTCTGTAAATAATTTCCCCCTGACACTGCACTTCCTTGTGTGCCACTGCAGCACCACTCCTAGGAGCAAATGTTTCCTAATAAACCTGACCCTCCCCTGCGTGACATGAGGCCATCACCTCTCTATCACTGGGAGAATATATCAACCTCACCTGGCCACAACGAGCAATAAGGTCCCAGAATCAAAGACAGGCTTCAAACAAAGACCCTTCAAACATCACAGAGCTGCCCCCAGCTCCCGCTGCAGAGCTGAAGCCATGCGGCTGCGCTGCTGCCCTCAGCCACATTATTCAGGCAAAGCTGCAGAAGGTGAAAGAGGAAAACAGGAGAGGCCTTTCCAGCACTCAAAGAGACTAAAGGAAGGGTTTCTGGAAAATCCTAATGAAGTAATTGCGCCGTGTCATCAGATTCGGTGGGGGAATACTCGTGTGGATGGAAAGCAATGCCTGCAGGCAGCCAAAGCAAACAGCCTCGTGCAGGAACACGCTGTCTGGCCTGATGGGCCCAGCACCAGAGAACCCAAAGCCTTAAAAAGAATTCCTTCGCTGCCCCCAAATTGAAAGCAGAGCGGAGCTTTCAGCCGTAGGCGTCTGTGGTTTGCAGCTATGCTGTGCTGGGAACTCCGGATACTTCCTCAAGGAATTTACATTCCTTTGAAGAAATACTATGAGGCTGTTTGTCTTTGCTGGAAAAAAAAAAAAAAAGAAAAAAAAAGAAAAAAAAAAAAGCAGATGGAAAGAAAAAGGACGTTGAAAAAAATAATTGATTGAAATCTTTGGGGTCTGAGCAAATGTGCTGGACAGGTGTTCGGTTCCTTTTGATTTAAACACATTCCCCAAGATGAGCAGCAGGAAAGCCGATCGCCTCTTGCTCCAAAACCTCCCATAAAAGCCCTTTATGAAATGAACTGCTGGAGCAGTTTCCGGATGAACGCAATTGTTGTTTCAGAGCTGCTGTGGAGCTCCTGAGCTACGACTGCTCTGCCAGTAACCAAGTCAGCATTGTTTACAGCAGGGATGACCTGTGGCATTCCCCCAGCAGCTGCCAGAGGTGTCTCCAGTGCTGCTTCTGCAGTGCTGGGCCCCTCCTGGCTCTTGTTTCTGGGTTTAGCAGCTGAAGCAGAGGGGTCTGAGCAGCCTGAAGTCACCCTGCAGCCCGTGTCCAGGGCTGATAACTTCTTTGCTAGGGTGAAAGTGAAAGGGTTAAGCAGAATTGTAGCTGCTTAATTAAAAGGACACTTGCTGACAGCCTCTCTCTTTAAGCCTCTCATACTGTGTGGATCTATACATCATCACCAATGGCCCTGGAAATCTTTTCCCTGTTTGTCCACATTATTTACTTTTTAACTGCCTGCCCCCTGGCTGGGACAAAGCAGATCTGAGACTCTTATCAAGCTCCTCTTTCTATAAAGGACTTTCCACCAGGGCTGGGCTCGCTCAGTGTAATCAGTAATCAAACAATAACTGCATTGACAGCGAGCCGGGGGGCCATCCCTGAGGGCTGGTGAAACAAATCAGAAGGATGCTGTGTTATTTGATAACGATGGAAAATTATTTCCAAATGATGGGAAATACCAGGCTGCTCCCGTGGGTGCAGACCACAAATGAGCTGGACACCGAGCTCTGCTCGCAGCCACGCTTGGAAGCAGCAGGAATTGCAGGGATTTGGGAACTGCACAGCCCTGGGAATCAGGTTCTTCTCTGATGGATGATGGTGATGGCACCGAGTCATGCTGGCACCTGGTTGCCACCACCCCAGAACTGATGGCACCAGCTCTCTGCAAAGCAAAAGCTGGCAAAGCCCCAAATCCAACCCCATGTGCTCACACCTGGGAGCTCAGGGCCAGCAGAGCTTCTCTGGCTGAGATCCACGAATGAGCACAGGCAGTAAACCCAGCAGTCCCAGAGAAAAGCAAATGAGGCTCTAATTCTCCAGGCTAATTCTATACCAAGCTCCTAAGCGGGGCTACAGAGGCCAACGAGGTGGGAAGGCCGGGAGGGAGCAGAGCTGCCAGGGAGTCACAGCAATCAGGAGCATGAGCCCCAGCACACAGCACAGTTTTGGGTGTTTTTGCTGTGTGCAGCTGTACAGAAAGCATCCAGAAGCATCCAGGAAGCATTTAATTCAGTGTCACAGTCCAACACACAGCCAGAATTACACCTCGGCCAAAGCACGTTAAAAGTGACACTGTACACAGGAAAAACCCTTCCTTTATTCCCCAGAGAAGTAAATGCCAAAAGCTGACACATATGCATACAGACGTGCCAAACCCCAGAAGTACCCAAAAGTCAGGGGGACAAAATCCTCAAAACTGGCAATAGAAAAATGCAGAGTGGAACTCAAAATATCCAGACCTGTAGCACTCCTCAAGGGCTGAAACTAAAAATCCATTTCTCCTTTTATTTCCTCTTATTTCCAGAATGAAACACAGAGAATGAAACAGGAGAAGCCTTCAGGGAAAGACACATGACGATAACTTGAACATCATCTTCAGCTATTCATAATTCAGTGAGAGAGTCATCCACAGCCATAGCGAAAATTTATCTCAAATAAATTATTTCCCCCCTCTGGGAATAATGAATCTCTGCAGCACCATGTTCCCCCCCACCCCAACCACTGCATCCAACAACAATAATTCACGTTGTGCCTTGAGATAATGTGTCCTTTAAGAAGGGCTGCTCACAATCCCCATGAGCTTTCCAATACCCTTCTTTTGTCACCCGATGTGAAATTAGGAGAAGAAATAAGTGAATAAATGGGTTTGGGGAGATCTGTAATGCTGTCTCTCTTCGTTGCTACCTCCCACTGCAGGATCCTGGCCCGGGGACCCCAAAAACACAGCCAAAAGAGACAGTGTTACCTCACCTGTTGGCATGCACCTCACTGCAGGGCTAAGGTGTATGGAGCCGTTAGGAGACACCTGCCTAGTAAGGATCTCCTCTCTGTGGGTTTGTTCGTTCTGCTCGAATCCTGTGACCATCTCCTGACTGCTTGGAGCAGGCTGATTTGCTGGCTGTGCAGAAGGAGTACAGGGTTTTACTATGCTGGGCACACATCCTGCCTTCCCACTGTCACCAAATGGGCAGAAGGAAGGGGTGCAGCCCATGCCCCACAAATACAGCCCCTGCAGGGAATGGCAGCTGTGCTGGGAGCTTCTCATTTTCCCCCTGCAGTGAATCTTAGGGGCTGGGTGGACAGAGCTCATTTTCCTGCAGTCTGCCTGGCCCCTCCCTCCCAGCTGTGCAGCAATGAGTGCTGATGTCCACAGTGACACATCCATAGGGACCAGTCCCCTAAAAATTAAAGTCACAAGATCCAAATTCAATGAAGTTGGGACCTCACCTGGAAGGCATCTGACAGTGCATTCACTCCTCACCTGCAGGACTGTTACACGACATTTTTCCTGCAAATACCTGTGAAGCTTGAGTTAACATAAAGCAGGCACAGCTGGTCTATTGGCCCCAAAGTCCATGTGGGATTCAATTATTTACTGAGTGGGCACACAGTTTCAGAGTCCCAGGAGAAGGGTAGAGAGGAGTTCAGGAAGAAATCCAGCATGGGTAGAGAGGAGGTGATGAGTGCCTGCACTGAGCCTCCTCTGGGACACAGCACAGGCAGGGCAGGGATGCTGACACCCCAACAGATCCTACTTGGTGTTGGCATCATGGCTCTGTCCTGGGCCTTTCCAACAATTGCAGTCGAGCTTTCAGATGCCTGAAAGTTGTTAAAGATTATTATTATCATCATCATTATTTTGTTTCTTTCTGTCCCTCCCAATCCCCAAATAAATAACGAAACAGAGGAGCAGCTCTGCAGCAGGGAGCAAGCAGTAACACCAAGTTCTCAGGCAAAATCCATAGTGATGCAGCAGGAGAGCCTCACTGGGCTGGTAGCTGGGACAAGCACATCATAGCCAGATGCTCTGTGCACCGAAACCCCTTTTGTAGCTGCTGACTTCAAGGTGCCTCTGTTTTCTCCACCACGGTGTCCTGGGTTTCACCCATGCTAAGCTATCTAAGGGCAAACACCGTGGTCAGATTCTCCCTTGGTCTGAATGGAGCAGCAGTGCCACAGCACATGATGGGCAACAGATCACAGGGCATGAGAGCGATGGGACACGGATCTTCCAGCAGCATTCTGTAAATATTAACTCCCAAGAGCTGTGCTCTCCCAGTGCCTGCAGTTAACTCCTGAGCAACAGGTTCCTTTTGCTCAGAGTCTTTTTTTGATGAGTTTCTCCAGTTTCCGTATCCGGGAGGATTCCTGCTCAGGGGTTGGGGTGCTCAGTGAGAGTGAGCTGCTGTTCTCCACCCCAGAAGGAGGTGCTGGGAGGCGCTGGCGGAAAAGCTCCAGCATGCTGCTCTGCTCACTCCTCTTCAGGCCCT